CTTGTCACTAGGTTTGTGCTACTATCGCACTCGAGTAGATTCTGATGGAGAAAGACTTAGGCCCCGTTCGGCATGTACCAATAAAAATATAATGCGGTGTTGTTGAAAACGGCCTATATCCTAAATGTAATACTCCTGCAAGTTAACCCCAAAGGAAAACTGGATTTCATGGTTACTGTGGGTAGAAGGCATCCTTCCACTTACCGGTATTCCAGCCAAAAGGGGGTGGGGGGCAGTGTAGTAACAGATACGGTGAGTTACTGTACGTCGCGAAATGCGAAATAATGTCACAGCAAGTGCGATATTTCACGGCATATCTATTTTCCCTGCCGGCACTGTACTCGGGTATTCTGAAGCCCCAGTCCCCTCGATGCCCCCTCCTTAGGCCAAGATGAGAGGAGGTGTGCCTTCTGCTACGGTACTGGTACTTGAGCACTGCATGAAATTTATTTTCCCTTTGGAGCTAGGTTGTTTAAGCATTAGGAGATTTTCCAAAATATCCCGTTATTTTGGCATCATACATGCCGGACAGGACCTTTCATATCACACAAATACGAGTACCGTAGCTGGATCTCCCAGATGAATTCTATAGACGGGGTACACAAGCCACATAATTCATCTGTCGTCAGCCACGCGCCACACATCACCACCCCTCTTCTCTGGCACCCAAAGAGGTTCAACACCAAACCGACCCGAGAGGAGGAAAAAAGAGCGCCTGCTTAGTCTATCCAACCACCATCTCCAGTGCATCGAGAAAATTATTCTTTTTTAAATTTCTTTCCCGCCTGCACTCACCTAACCTTGTCACTTTTCCCACCGCTATTTTGTCCTCCACCATTCCACCAGCTCTGTCTCCACCCTCTCTCCGCTCCTAGGAGATTTCCCCCGCTCTTTCCCCCCTTTTTGCCACACAAAATGCCCCTCCATGGACTGCAGCACCATTCGCGGTCACACTCGAATATACACACACCCGAAACACCCGGAGCAGGATCCACGCTAATCCAAGCTGCTCAGGCCCTGACCGGAATTGGTCAACCAAGCGCTGCCTCGACTATTAGCCAACAGCAGCAGCAGCAGCAGCACTTACAGCAACCCAGCGGCGGTGGCGGTGGTGGCCTCCGTGTACAAACCTCACAAAACAATCTCGCTGCTAATAGCGGCCCCGGTAGTGGAGTAACATCTATATACTCTGGGTCTACAGCGTCTGGGGGAGCTCTCTCTGGTACCTCTGCAGCTGGGTTGGGTTTTAGCAACAGAGAACCACCGTCGTCATCCCTCGATCAGCAGAAGAAGCCCACAAACCTTTCCTTCCAATTGCCGTCCCCAACACAGGGTGGCAACCCAGGGGACCTCTACACTTCTCCCCAAGATTTACACTATCCGCCCCGTCCAAGCGATCCTATCCAGGCCCAGCAGCTCTCCTCCTCTACCCCATCATCTCAGCACCAGCCACAGCAGCAGCAATACCAGGCGTATCATTCCCCTCAGCCTCCGTCCAGCACCAGTTCAAGGCCGCAACCGCACACAACCGCAACGGCGCTAGGCTCGGTTCCGAGAATTAACGACCCGCTACAACAACAGCAGTCGACAATGCACCGAACGAGCACCACAAATGCATCCCTCAGTCATTCATCCAAGTATTCCCCGCAGCTGAACACTTCTTCGTCTTCGACGTCGAACAGAGACAACTCGGTTGTATCCGCAGGGGGGGACCCCGGTCGGAAATACACTCATCCTGGAGCTCTCACACCGACTTATCCATCGTCCACACAGCACTCATCGTCGCATTCCCATTCCGCCGCTGCACATCTGGGTATGGGTTTGTCGGGGTTTACTTCTCCCGCCGCTTCAACGCGGGAGCGAGAGGAGACCAGTGCCGTTGGAGCTGTGGGAAACGGGAAATGGATGAGCCCTTGGAGTCTTTACGCGCTGGATTGGTGTAAATGGCAGCCTACGAATGGGGGTTATGGAAGGGTGGCGATTGGGAGTTATGCGGAGGATAGTCATAATTACGTGAGTCTCGCTTCCTTACCGGCCCCAAAAATTCCGCTAGATAGAGGAGCCAGTGCCAATGCCGCGTAAGTTCGTTTTGGGCTTAACATGGGTGCTCGGGTTCTGTATCTTGGAAAAGCTTGGGTTGCGTGAAGGGATACTCCCCTGCTGCAGTCAATCACGGCGTTTCAGCGGCGGCGGCACGGAGAACAACTTTTCGGATGATCTTTCTGACCTGAAATAGATACAAATTCTTGATACCCGACTTGCTTCGGTCCCCAGCACACATTCAGATACCCCTCCACCCGCCCCAACCATCGAATTTTCAAAAGTGGCTGAGGCCTCACACACTTACCCCATAACACGAATCTTATGGGAACCTGCCGGCTCAACAAAAGCGTCGACTGAACTTCTGGCTACCTCTGGTGACCACCTTCGCTTGTGGTCGCTCCCGAATAGCCCATCTACAAGTTCTTCTAACTCTGCGACTCCACAGGGAAATTCTATCACTCGGTCCAGCACTTTCCACACACAACCCATCCAGAAGCTGACCCCTTTAGCTCTTCTATCCAACAGCAAGTCCACGGATTTTACCGCCCCTCTTACATCTTTAGACTGGAATCCCCTTTCACCATCTCTGATTATTACCAGCAGCATTGATACCACCTGTACAATTTGGGATATTCCAACTCTTACTGCAAAAACCCAATTAATTGCTCATGACAAGGAAGTCTTCGATGTAAGATTCATGAGCGGCTCTGTAGACGTATTCGCGAGTTGCGGGGCCGATGGGAGTGTCCGGATGTTCGATCTAAGGAGTTTGGAGCACAGCACAATTATATATGAACCTGGAGTAGGAAAAGGCTCTGGAGCAGATCCCAACACCAGCTCCAAGGAAGATGGAGGATCACCGGTCGGTGGTGCCGGAGCAAGCCCCCCACCCTTGTTACGATTAGCAGGTCTGGATCCTCCCTCATGACTTATGCACTAGTAGTATATCCTGACGCAGCCATAGCATCGCCACATGACCAACACCTCATCGCAACCTTCTCCCAAGATTCAAACCTAGTGCGAATCCTAGACGTCCGCCAACCAGGCCAAGCCCTCATTGAGCTAAAAGGCCACACAGGTAGCGTAAACTGCATAGAATGGAACCCTACAAAACGAGGGATCATCGCAGGAGGAGCAGACGACAGCCTAGTCCTAATTTGGGACCTAGTAAACAACACAACCTCGCAATCCACGGGATCCAACGGCACCAGTGTAACACAAGAGAAGATCCCTGTGGCGTCGTGGAAGTGCGATTACGAGGTGAATAATATCAGCTGGAGCCCAACGAGTGCAGGTACTAGTGGTGCAGGGGGAGGCGGAGGAGGGGGAATTGGGGATTGGTTGGGGGTACTTGGGGGGAGGGGTATATGGGGAGTTAAAGTATAATGCTTTTTTTTGTCACCTATTTGTCCGTATGGATTATGCCATGCTTTTATGATATCAAAATTTTATCTCCCCCCCCCTTTTGTTAACCTTTTGAGTCGTGGGGTTCAGGGGGTTTTTCAATATCAATTTTCCCCCTTTCCTTTTACCTACCTACTTTCTATTTCCGTCAGCATGGGTTACTTCTGTTTGGGGGTATTTTGTCCTTTTATCTTTCCTCACTGTGTCTGCCATGTGCGTGCTTGTTTGGATGGGAGGATTAAGCTATTTTTGAAAAGGACGAGGTCGGGGTATTTCATAATCTACTCTTCCCGTCGTTTTCTAGATTCCCATTGCTATGAAATACACCGAGTGATATCCAGCTCGGAGAAGTTGTGGAAGTTATTATTTATTTGGAATATTGGAATATCACATCATGTGTCTTCCCACTCACCTACTATCTCACCTAGCCAAGGGAGTAGGTGTGCCATTAGCCGGGTAAGTAGCCCGCCGATCAGAGCGTCCCATGACTGCAAAATTTAGCCTGCCCTAACAACCAAGCGCTCAGGTTTGCCGGCCGGATTGCAGTCGCATTTCTCTCGTTTGGCATGTTTACACCAGGAAAACTAACTGCAACCCGCCCGCTCTGACAGCCCACGTTACAATTGGTGGTGCGCCGACCGTCAAGGGGCTCCGAGCGCACTGTGATACTTTCAAACCAGCTGCCTGTTCCGGTCCCTAGTGGGGTAGTCACATAGTGCTATCCTCTGTATTGAATTTATTGGTGTGCAATGAACCACTTTTCATAACACCGTAGAATGCCCCGAGATACTAGGTCTACCTAACAGCCTTTTTGATCGCGTTTTTCGAGAGCCTGAAGTTCCTTCCCGCCTTGCAATCCCATATCCTCTCCCATGCCTCATGGGGGTATGATACTTTCAACTTCCCCCAAGAAGTTGGATCCAGCACCGAAAGCATAAACGGATAATTGCACTCGGCGATTGGGATAGCTTATTTCCTCAATCACTAACTTGGGTATCACAGTTGCAAATTAGCCTACCGGTAAGGCCACCGGGTTAACTACGATCGTGGATATGATTTGGTGAACATGAGACCTTCAAAATCGTGAAATGGACCCACCGTAATTTCAGCGTTGAACATACAACTCCAATCCCTCTCCTCGCGCTTCCGGGCCAAAACAGTAATACACCGAATAGTTCCTTGGCGCCGCTCACCCCTCTTCTACTCCGAAGACTTGCTTAATGTCGTGGGATAGGGGCGGGAGAAACGGGTCGAGTGATGCTTTGTGAGGGGGGTGGTAGTGAAGTTGGAAATTGGGGGAGGGGGAGAGTATCCATAGTGGACCAGATATAAGTCTGAGCGTTGCAGCCCATGCACCTCGAGACCGGCCTTATAGAAGTAATCTAATTCACAACTTCGATGGCCTAACCTGCTCGCATTACATAGGAGATAGTTTGGCGTCATTATGCTCGAAAACTCTCCAGGGTCAACATAGGTCGTGCCAGGAGCCAACTTGAGGGGGGGTAAAAATCTGGTTTCTCAAAAGTTTTTTTTCTTTTTTCTCACTGTTCCTACGGTTTGGTGTCCAAGTGGATCGGAGAGCTAAATCAGTGAACTCCTGCCAGGCAGTTGGGATGCAGACACGTGAGTTGCAGCGTAGAAGCTTGTGCCTCCTGTCTACATTATTTCGAGCCCCTTGGGCACCAAACTTAGCAACTGTTCTCTGGCATCTGCACTCCCGGGTCCGCCACGGTACTCCGGGTCCTGCTGGTTTATGGCTGTCCTCGGGGTTATCGTATCATACTATAGCTTCCTTGCAGCAGCCATTGTCACGCCAAGGATTGCTGTATAACCCTTTCAAGATTACACGCTACAAGTACTACACCTCCAGATGAAAATACTGCCTCAAGCCCCCCCCTCTCCAGATGCAACCAATCATTGAGAAACAGGCCTTCCCCCTTATCCCAACCATTTCAAGAACCAATGGACAAAGCTGCCTTCGAGAGGGGCTATGCTCCCTCCCATGGTAACAAAGTGCTCTGGTGGTGCCTAGCTAGTGCAGTGGATACAAGCTTATCGACCTATTGTCTCCCGAGAAACTTGGTTGGTAAGGACGGGAAGTCCGATCCTTGCACTCACCGTGGGCAGTTATTGCCCATCATGGCAGGTGGGAATTACGAAATCCCGTCCAACAGGGACCAGATGATCGGGGACAAAAGAACACCAGATATAGTTTGTGGAGTAATTCATCCGGTCTCACTAGAAGGTGGTGGGACCTGCTCGAGTGGTTCTCAGTCATAGGTGCTGTGGTCGGCGGAGTGGCAAAGGAAATTTGATCCCCTTCTTCCTATTTTGTGCCCACGTGCGCCAACTGCTTAAAGCTACAGAAGCCTTATCAAGAGCAAAGCGCCGGGGCACAAGGGGATACTGTGTCATGGAAGTGAACCGCCCCAGGCGTCCCTCAAATAACGGTGGGCGAGAAACCTCCGAATGACATAAGGAAAACGATACATGAGTAATTTGGAATACCAGCGGTGACCCCTGATTGCATGTTGTGAAAGTCTTGTATCTACTGCGCAATGGGAAAGGCAAACAGAGTAATCTCTGGAGGACTCCCGATCCTTTTTTTTTTTTACCTGTCTAATAATCTCTAATCACTAGGGTTCTAATCCACCCTGAACGTATGACTGAGTCCTAGCAACTGCTCCAGAATGAAAGCGCAATAACAGCTAAAGGGAAAAAAAAAGAAAAAAACTCCTGAAATTCCACTATCCCCCCAACAGGAGTTAATCTCCCACCCACGATAGGTTTTGGTTTTTGACGGGTTGAATGGATTGCGAACACCAGTTAATGAGATCCAAAGCACACGGAACGCTCAGGCTTTACGATCCGGGGAAAATACTAGCGGCTTCCCAGGAGCCCTTGACCCAGGATCCAGGGATTACAGGGCTGGCGGAGATAGTGGATTTCAAGACTTTTTACTTTGTACAGAGATTCACCGCGGCCCACTTCACCTATTTCGGAAGAGCCCTTATCTTACATAACTCTACAGGAAGCTGGCCATCGAACTAGCAATCTCAGTGGGCTCACCACCGGAGGATGTTAGTGGTGGTAGAGGAACAATAGGATGTTGTGGATGGCCTAGAAGTTGCAGGAGTGCGGTGAACCATCTGGGAGTGTTGTGGATTGTTCAGGAGCCCTAGTGATTTACAGAGAAGTGTCGAATCACTAGGCATGTCTTTCCTTTGTTATCATGGAAGTGCAAGCAGGAATGGGGACGCGCATGAGACGAGGTATGTGTGGCAATATATGGAAGGACAGGAAAGCTCTGATTCTGTTTTACATGTACTCCTGTCACCAATAACTTAGAGAGTATGTGCGTGTGTAGAGATTAGTAGGACAACGAAGCTCCTAACCATACATTTTTCACACACACACGACCAGAGCCCAGAGCTATTCCCCCCCACTATGCCACTGCTCCATTTATAAGTCGCCCCAGGAGCACCCACCTCTTACACTGTGACTAAATATAGGAGAGCCAGCTTAACAGCCCACATTGGTTTGGCCCGCCCCTCGGCTCCCTCACCCCCGAACTAAACACTCAATATCACTATGCTGACCAATCTCGTGGTATATAGTAAACACGCTCGGTTCGCTCAGTCCTGCCAGTGCTCGATCGAAAATAGTATCCTTGAGAGAACGGTACTGAAGGCAGGGGTGAAGAGTCACAGGCAATCTAAGGTGCTTAGCTACCATTTATTCCCTGTTGCTTTTCGGCTCTCCCGTCGCGGCAGTACGAATATTGGGCGGGCCTGGCAGAGAAAGTACTAAGAATACAGTGAGGCAGGAGGCATTCCGGGGCAATCGTTCTATAGAATGAGGCACCTAATGAGGTGCGAGGTTCGTTCTGCCAAGCATCGCATCTTTGGGAAAACTCCTCCTACACATTGGTAAGGCGAGTGCTCTGAGCTCAGGTGGTTAAATATTTCTCTTGATTTCGCTATTTTCACAAGTAGCACGGAAGATACTGGTGTGTGATGTGGAAACACTTACCACCCGGTAATATAGAGGCAGAAACTCTGGCCTTTCCAAATTAACAACCATCGACCATTCAAAGCAGGAAAACAAAATCACCTATCCAAATACTCACCGACAATAGTCTAAGGAGCCAAAAAAAATCATCCTGCAAAAGAATAAATTGATTCAACCGGGAATCGAACCCGGGTCGGGCGCACGTTGCTGTATTGGCAAGCGCCCATGATACCTCTACACCATTGAATCGTTGCAAGATGCACTTTTTTCCTATATACATGAGCCACTTAGCCATGACCAATCATGATTTCTGTGGGATCAGCAGAAAAGACCGGTGAAGTCGAGAGCTGGCACCGATAAACTAAGGCATCTTTTGCTCCCAAAAAAACAATACAGTCCAGATGTTCACTGCTAGACCACCGTCGTGCTTTTTTATCTTACTCGTGAAAGGTAGGCAACTTCCACAGCGGCAGGAACGTGATAGAATTAGGCCTCTTGAGAAGCCCGCCAACCGCAACTACTCCATCTCGAATAGGACAAGTTACTTAGCTGCATTATTATTATAGATAATGCTTGAAATAGAGTTTGGATTAACTACCCGAGTACTAAAATAGCTTTCCCGCTGTTGGTTCTATGGGTGATCTGGCGGGTGATTAATAACGTACTGTAGGAATCGATCTATTAAATACCCGCAAGGAGAGCTGCTCATACTACCGCAAAGGATTGATGACCGAGAATCTCTCTAGAACGCTGGATCTGCCCTCCTAGCAAGGTCTGCCCGTGTCCTACTCTCTGTCTCCATCCTCCTGAACAGAGGGCTAGGGCGGGGAATCTTTTCTCTGTTTTATTCCCTTTACCCACGGGGGAAAACTCTGGACGTCCTAGGGTTATTGTCAATTGCTCCTGCTCTCATCACAAACTGGAGCCCCCCTATCAGTATCAAGCGTCGGTACAAGGAGATATCTAAC